ATATATATATATCGAAATTATTGACAGTAACGTTTATATGTAAAATGATGAGCTTCAATCATTCTAGTGGCATGTCATAAATATTTTGTTGCATACAAGTTGATTGGTGAAACCTATATATTAATTAAAACTAATAAAATAGATAAATTAGTTTCCCAACTTTGATGACTCTGCAGGTGTTGTTGTTTATTGCAAGCAGGTAGAGAGCATGAGTATAGTAAAGTAAGACAAATTAATAGGAATATATAAATATATATAATCTTAAAGTGGACCTGTACTTGAAGCAGCAGTTGAGAATATATAAAGAATATTTGTCTGTGTATGGAGGCCGGTGGTTTATTATATTGATATACGTACGTAGTTAATTAAAGAAAACGATGTATGGTGTATATATCATATATGAGGTTAATTGGTTAGGGAAGAACGGCAGACCTGGAAAAGATGGTACCACAGTCACACTTGTACTCTTTGGTGCCACAAATTTTTGAATGAGCCTTCCAGTCGCACTGTACAGCATATCTTTTGGAACATTTCTCACATTTCCATTTCTTTTCCCCGTGTTTCCGGCTAAAATGTTTCTTGATTCCTGTTAGATCTCCTAATGCACGAGTGGGGTTGTGGTGGACACATGTGGGTTCAGGACATATATACACTCGCTTTATTATTTCGGTGCTGCTTCTTTGCCTTAGTTTCCATGGTAGGTTATGGCCTCTCCTATGCAGTTGCAGGTTTTGATCCCTTTGGAAACCCTTGTTGCATATTTCACATACATATTTGTTCTTTGCCATGAGACTCGTTGGCGATAAAGCAATAACTTGTGCACTTGGATCTGCATATATATATATATATATATATATATATATATATATTATATTTACATATGTGTTAAAACAATATTTGTAATTAATGCTCTTTTTGGAAACAGGTAGATATATACCAAATATCTCTACTGGATACGTATTGAAGAAAAGAATTAAAGAAATATATTAATGGTCAGCGAAGAGTATGCATCAACCATCCCACTCTCATCCACAAACACTGTTGATGGGAGCAGTACACATGTACATATATGTTTAATTACTTGAAGCAGCAAAAAACAAAAGTAGAAGAAAAAGATGAGGGCAAGAGAACTTCAATTATTGCGATCCATAAACCAATAATTGAGACTCTTTTCTTATTTGACAACCCAGCAACCATACATAATATCAATGATTTCCGATCTATGCGTTTAATTTGGACTATTCACCATGTAAATAATTTATCATTTTTGAATTCATATTTCATGTTTGATAAGTATAGTTTAAAAATTACTGAACAATGCATTCATTCACCATCTTTCTTTAATATTTTAACTCTCTTTTCAACCAATAAGAAATAAAAGCAAATTGAAAGATTTCTAATTAATTCCTTGGCAAACAATGATCATAGGAGTAGATATATTATCAAGGGATAATGATAATTATAATGAAATATTTACAAAGCAACCCCACAACGATTTTTGACAATGAAACTTATATAATTAACAGAAAGGAATTGCGAAATTAAGAAATTAAGTTTACCTGGAGTTCCTGGTAGGGATCTTTTCTTCTTCTTAGATGAATCTGGAAGAAGTTCTTGAGGGGTGGATCTAACATCTGCAGCTGTGGATGTACTCTGGGAGTTGACTATTGATGTCTGCCTTTGTTGACCTTCTTCCAAAACACCACCAGTATTGCCGGAGGAGAAGCTACCTCCTCCATCTCCTGATATGTTTGACATTTTGAGATACAAACAAAGGGAGTGTGGAAACAAAAGATGGATGGTTAATATATATAAAGGGGAAACTTTTGACAATATATTTAAACTAATTTGTGTTCTTGTTGATTGGTAGAAGCTAGGCTAATGGGGTTTATTCTTAATTCTGTGTTTTTGGTTTCATTGGTGGATCAGCATAGACACAAAACTTGGGATTTGCTGTTACAACACCAAGACAAACACCAGGACACTCTTCTTCGTTTGTTTCTGGTATGAGAGAGAGAGAGAGAGAGAGAGAGAGGTCTTGGAACAAGAAACTAGAACACAAAACATGGGTCTTCATAGTCATAGTAATCATAATATATTAGTATTTTTTTTTCTTTTTTGTTGTTATAAGATTGTTGACTACCTTATCACATCATGTGTATTATATTCCAATTTTTGTTAGGTATCTAGAGGTTATCATCTATACTTGTATTTTAATGGTAAGAAATGGATTCCACTTTTATGATTCTCGATATCCCTTTAATCGTATCGTAAAGTTTCATCTATTAATCAATGATCTTTTTGTGGGATCCTTTATAAAAATCCAAGTTTAACTCACTGCGGGGCACATTGTAATTTGTAACCCAACAGAAAGATATTTATATTCTATAATAAAAGATATGTGGTATATATCAATCTAAGAAGATATTTAAGACGTATATATGGGATGTAACAGGAACGTTAGTTTGTATGCAAAAAAATTAAGCTTTAATCATTACCAATGGAAGCCATCTATAGAACGTAAAAAAGTCGTATTTTCACACTGAAACTACGAAAGTTTCCATAATTTTCACGTTTGGTCAAATTCTTCTGATGGGGCTGGGGGACAATGTCATTCTTTCAGAGCTTAGGTTCACGTGCACCTATGGAATGCAATGTTTTCAAAGGCTATGATTGATAATGTTTGACAATTCCTGATGGAAAATTCTCCAAACGTAGACAACTGCCTCGGATTCCTTTATATAAATGAGATATATTTTAAAACATTATAATATTACTTTAGAAAATAAAAATAAAAACTTATAACATATGAACAACGTTTGACTGCAATGTCAAGCCTCAACTTTTTTGAGTCGTGGCGCACCACGTCGTTTGTAAAACGTGACTTAAGGCAGTAGTTTTGTATA